CCTTAAGGAAACCAATTTTGTGGATCATCTCTCTAAATCCGTCCGTCCTCCAAACTGTGTATAGAAATCCCCACAAGAAAGACGCAAAAACAACAATGGTATTACCGAACGGAAAGGTAAACACGACCGTGTGAATGTTTCCATCCTATAGTGTTTAAACACGAGTTGAAAAAAGAGTGGGCTTCTGAAGTTTTTGACTTATTTCTCCAAACAACTAGGGCCAAGGCAATCAGGCTGTTTATTTAAATTAGAAGGCCGGTGTTCCCTGAGCTAACACCGGGCTGTGATTCCATCAGAGGCCGCCCGGCTACTGGTTCGCTCTTGCTCTTTCCCCGGTCCTTTGTGTCGGAGTTGAGCTGAAACGTAAACTACGCATTCTCCGAGGTGTCACCGTTAATGGCCTTATGGTGAGGTATGTACACTCATAGATTGTCCCTGTGTGATGGAGGTACCATCTTGTTAAGAGCAGTTGCTTCGGATAGCAAAGCAGATAATGCTGTGCTGAACAATACCAAAGCCGAGTAAACGAGCTGGCGGCACAATCTCCAACTTATGCAGTTTCGACCTTTATCATGCTTCCACCAATTTTGTCACATTCCCTGTATCCAATAACAGTATTGAATGATAATGTTTTGTGCAAAAAGGAACCAGACTATTTTTCCCTTCCAGCCTCGCTTTGGTTACATTGATCTGAATGGGAAAAAATCAAATGGCTGCAACATGATAATGGTCTATTTATTGAAAAGCCATACCAAATGTACTTTCGTAGTTATTATGATGAGGTCAGTGTATATAACCTGCGGCATGAACGACTTCCTTACTACGATTATAATGGGTCACATATTTCGAAGGAGACGTTGAGTGACAGTGTTGGACGAGGTATATCGTGATGGATCACAAGTCCGATCACAAGTCCGATCACAAGGCAATCACAAGGCAATTCACAAGTCCGGTCACGAGTGACGTGAGATGAACACAAGGGAACGTATTCACATTTTGAAAAGCTTATGAGTTGACTTGTGACTGACTTGTGACTGACTTGTGACGACCCGTGATCGATCACAAGTACCTCGAATACAGCACTGTCAGTTGGCAGGCCCCGTGCACTGGATCAATGCAGGTTGAAGGACCCGCGGAGAAAACACATCGGGGAAAAGTAAGGGATTTCGACCCGATTTGTCTGATTGAGACATGAAGCACCGATGCGCATTGTCAATATAGCGCCCTAATAGACATCTTCTTTAAATCAATTTCAGAGAGCAACCCAGACCCGCCGTCCTAAAAAAACCACCACCTTTTTATTAATTGCTGCAAAAACGTCATGGATAAGTCAACTGTTCTAAGTTTGTAAAGTATTGCAAAAGTGTGTGCTGAGTAGCTTAATAAAATGGCCGCCTCTGGCACCTTAAGTGGGTATCGAGTTAACGAGTCAATGGCTTCGGACCTACTTCAACCTTCTTATTCAGCGATGCCCAGGAAAACAGGTTTACAAGAAAGGGATTGTATACACGGCGAAGTGGGCAAATCGGTCAACAAAAGGTCTCATAACGGTGCCCCCAAGTTGACTTTAGATTAAAGAGAGGGTGCAAAGTGGCCACCGTGTGTTAGGAGATTAGAAACATTCATGCCGGCGGTGAAAAGACGCGCTGCGTCCGGGAAGTGGGCAAAGCAAACACGATCTTGGGGGATGGACAACTGGTTACTATTCGCTTGGTATACAACGTAAAAACTGTCCAATATCAAGGGTGGGTGGCTTTCAAGACGACTGTACAAGATGAAGCAAGACACGGCAAGCCTATGGTAAAACTGGTGCCAGGCTAATTCACAAGTTACACTCATTTCAGAGAGAAGGTACAAAGGGCACAAGGGTGGCCCTCTGTGACAATCAAAACACGAACTTTTATTTTATTTGGCACGTGTAGAGTTCGATGTGCATGTTTATGTTCAAACGGGGACATACGTGTTAAGTTTCATTATGGTAATTGGGGGCATCCATCTGAGGACGACCACGAATTAGAAATTGCGTACAAAACCTATGAGAGCAGTTGCAAAAAAAGCTTGTCCAGACAAAAGAAGTCGCCAGAAGAACAATGACCTGTCCTCAGTGCATACCATACACCGACCTGTGTGTTTTGGTGGGAGTGCGTTGGTTTCAGCAAGTGCGCAAAAATAGCAGCATCGTCCAAAATCAAAAGTTCTGGAGTGTTTCGAATACAATATAACCCTGTCCATCCATGCAAGTGTTTGTGGAGAATTAAGCCCTGGATTTGGCAAACACGCGACGTATTTGCCCTGTACGGTTCCCACGAGAGGCCAACCGAGGCAATTACGGGAGAAAGAACAACCCAAACGGCTGTTTCACGCAACAAAGGACCGGGAGGCGTTACATTAACAGCTTTGTGTTAACACAATGAGACAATTAGAGAGTTTACATAGAGTTTATAGAATATTCACATGCACTCCCGAACGTCTGTCATATCATCCGTGGGTATGTTTCTGTCGCGGAGATAGGGGGGAGGAGAGAAACGGATGATGTAGCTTTTAAGCCCTTGAAGTAAATTAATTTCGGGGATGTTTACCGTGCACATAATGAGAGAGGATGATTGAATTGGTGGAAGTGACGAAGATTCACTGTGACGCAACGGTGTAAATATACGCAAAGAGGCTGGCTTATGAGTGCAACTTAGTGAAGGTGTGTTAAGAGTTTTAGCTAATGTGGTTTTAAGTTAAAAATCGATGCTCGTCATTTGTTTTTATTTACCTTTTTTTTTTTTTTTTTTTAGAGCGAGCGCTTATTTCACGTTGATGGTTCTCATGTGTGTAATGTTGATCTTTATACAGGGGAAAATATGAGACTTTCTCAGTTCAGCTTCCTGTGTTATATTGAAATTACATTTTTATTAAATTAGAAAGGGGACTAGCGGGCGTGATTTGTCATATGTTATCTCTCGGGGTTGGTCCCCGCAATGACTGCCGAGCATTTAGTAGGCGCACGCGTGTAAGGCATAATGTTTGCCGCTCGAGATAGCGCTGATACATCAGGTTCGCCAAATACGATTATTGTTTGATGCGATCTGGAGATCTCCTTTGACTTCCCGATGTTTTTAATATCATCTCCCCTCTCTTCCTTGGTTTCTATTGGTCCATGCCGCGCGTCACGCGCGATGGCCGGCCCGCGCGCGGTAACGCTATATCCTTGACTTTTCCCGGGGCTAAAATTTAGTCCGCATGTCAATTAATTTCCCCTCCGGCCCAGCCAACTGGCAAATATTATGCATATATTTGTGCTTGTCATTCTCTCCTTTAACCCTCTTGTCAATGTAACGGCCCAGCGGTTCCACGATCCATACTTCATCTGGGGCCGGCCGGCCGACACGGCCGGCCCGTCGCGCTCGAAGAGATGTGCCCGGTAACTGCGAAGGTTTTTTTTTCTTCTTCCTCTCCTTCTTCACCATATTGGCAAATAGAAGGGTTGTAAAAACAAGCCGGGCGCTGATCGAAGTAATTGCCGTTTTGTAACTGTGTGTTTTCCGGACGGTGACAGAATTATGGCGGGGGAATCTATCACAGAATTTGGGATTTATGCCGCCGAGTGGTTTGGGGGCTTTCAAGTGCGGATTGTAAATTGCGCCACAAAATCATGACGGACGAGCTATAACGCTGTATACAGTTCACTGTCCAAATCCACACACGGCGTAGACAGCCACATTAATGAGGACATTTCCGACAAATGGGTGTATTCTCGGATTACCGTTAGAAATCCTTAAAGTGATTGAGGGAGCATTTTGGTAAAATAAAGAAAGTTACCGCGACAACACATTATTGAATCAATTTCAAACCAGGAATGCTTTTAGACTAAAGTAAATTGAATGTGCGCCTCTGAGTAGCCATTACTTGAATACACTCCGCGCTAAGTTTGTCGTAAATATCTATCAAATAAATCGCTATAAACAATGATATCTTGTTAACAGGAGGACAATTTTTAAGCGCCCCTAATACAATATACAAATGGCACTTTCGCGGAAAAGTACTGTTAGGCCTAATGGTGAACACGTTTGTTCCGAAAATTGATAATTCGACGCGAGGTCTGTTTTCAGGGAGACAAACAATGCTTTCTACATGACGGGTAAGTGTCGACAAGTAAAATTTCAAGTTCCGTAAATTGGCAAGAAAATGGAATGTGACTCGCTTTCCAGAAAAGTAATGGTACTTAGTGTGCTTAATGACGACATTAAAAGTCAAATGTATTCAATTCTATATGACATCAACTGTATACTGCAATGTATAATTATTAGTCGGGTGCTCAGGATTCATACCGCAGTAAACATCATAAATGACATATCTCTCGCGACATGGTCTTCAAGTTTCAAATTTACGACATGTGGAGAATGGTATAACCCAATATCAATTTGGTCATCTCGATTTTTAACACACAACTTTAACAAAATGATGCACCGGTGACATTTGGTGCATTTTAACATCGACTTGCGGAGCAGTCAGGGAAGAAGACCCAAAAAAATAGCCCATTTTTTTCCCTATTCACCCATGAACGTGCAAGAAAGGGGGAAACAACAACAACAATTGTGGCACGGACTTGACCTTGTGCTGTAAAATGAAGTTGGGCCTGATTTGCAACTGAAGCATGAATTACCAAGCCTTCGCGACAGTAGGTACCAATATAACAACTTCATAATAGTCAAACGGCGATCAAGGATCAGAAAAAAATGAGAATCAGAAAGAGTCAATGGCAATATGTATCATATACCATGGTTTTGGCATGGTTACCTAAAGTTTAGTGCACGTGCTCGGCACTATTCTTTTGGAAGAGCCATGTTATAGCCCTGGGCTAGTTCGAAGACGTGATTGCCTATGGCATGCTTTGCAATGGAATCATCGCCAATATGTCTGACTGGTACCGATACGGTGTATTATTGTGACAGCGACCAAGTAGACGCGGAACACAACCAATATGGAGGATTTAGAAAGGAAGTCCACCTCACCTGAACTCGAGATTCCACCAGGTCCAGCCTCATGGCCAGCGCCTCTCGCGTGAAGATGTCCGGGTAATGGCTCTCATTGAAGGCCCTCTCCAACTCCTCCAGCTGCCAGCCGTTGAAGTTGGTCCGGCTACGGCGCCTCTTGGACCCGCTTCCATCCTTCCCCTCCCCGTCTGTATACAAGAGAAATAGAGCAAGGTGGAAGAAAGTAGAATGATTAATTGCCTGGAATTTTTACCTTTACCTCTCGAGGGTAACTCTTCGCTCTGAGTTTCTTGAGAGGCGAGGGGGAGATTTGTTACACGGGAGGTGTGGGATTTATCGGTCCTTCTAGACCGAGGACTGGTGGCGTTGTTTATCACCACCTACCGAATGGTCTAGCGATCCACTTTAAACACGAGGACCCATGAATGTCCCACATTATAAAATCGGATACTTTTTCTTCTTCCTTGAGAAGTCTTGATATTTTTTTCTTTCCCCCCTTCTTCATCGTTCTCAAATCTTGATGACTGGAAATGCCCTCCCTATTACATGCTCCAAAATGACGCGCCGTGCCATCAATAATGTCGGCTGCATTGTAGCGAGTTGCAAGATGAGTGACAACCCGCTCTTTGCAATGAAATTTGAGGAGAAGTAGCTGGGCCCGGCCCGGTCGATAATACACCCGCGCCGTTCCTCGCTCGAGCGGAGAGAGAGAGGGTAGACGGTGTACGAAAGGGACTGTGCTGGCCGGGGCCAGCCCCGCACACACGCGGGCTTTCAATCACAGAAAAAAACCCAGTCCGGTGTTTTGACTCTCTTGCTCACTACACCGCTACTATACTTCTTTTTTTACTTTGTGTGCATCTCCCAACCTTTTAAAACTATTTATACACGTAAAAGTCGTACAAATACTAGTGAATGGAGCTGGGTTTTCTATAGTCGGGACATAAATGGAGGTGAAAGCGCTTGGTTTTTTTGGCGAAAGCAGGGTCGTGTTGATTACAATATCGGACTCGGCGTTTAATTCCTTGAGTTTAGAAGGACAGAGAATGAAACGACAAAGTGAAGTGATTTAAGATATACTGTTTACTCAAGTGAAAGGCTAGAAGTCATTTACATGTAACAAAGCCTGCCAATTAAAATATACGGCTGCAGACAATGACGTATATATTTTTTTCGACAATGATTCTATTATGGACGGCAAACAACAATATTTTATTTACGCGCACAGGATCATTAAAATGGACACAGTAAGGTAAGTTGTCAGCAACTTTTGCATTACGTTTTGACGTAAGGTTTGTACCATGTGAAATAATGGGAAACGAAAATATGGCTTATTTTGGTTTATACTGTGTGAACAAAAATGTACCAGAAAGAACACTTCATTAAAATTAAAAATAAAATAGGCATTTTTTTTGACAGTTTGCTCTTAGGTTTAGGCCTAAACTATATTAAATCTAAGTCTTACTAATATACAAAGCAGAATAAAATGAAATCTGTTTGACTCTTGCTGAATATAAAACACTGTAGAATGGTAGGCCTAATAGTACGGCAGATAGGTGATGGGATTGTGCCTTTGATGATACAAGCATGGAATTTGACACACAGTCAGAATACAGGTATGTCATGAGAAAGATATTTGGCTATAGAGCTATTGCAGATTTGTCCTTTGCAAAAAATATATAGGTAGAATAACAAGCAATGGCAGCCATGGTGAACATTTTGAAAATTGCTTGATATTCTATATTTTTTTTCAAAGCACAAATCTGTGAAGGCCCCATAGCTAAAAGGTTTCTCTAGGGCATGTTCTTACTGTGTGCCAACTTTCGTGCTTTTATCATCAAATGAGCAACTCTATCATATTTTGCACCAATGTGCCGGACTATAATATGAGTTATTAGTAGTGTCAGACAAAATGTACAACTATAGTATTTCGGGTAATCTGCAAATACGATCCGAGGTCAACACGCAGCAGATAGACCACACCGAACAGGTTTGGCTCTTGGTAGGTCTATGTACTTTACCAAAAATGTATGTGGTATTTTTCTGGGCTACAGGCATGTGATGCTGCCAAGTAGCTCGGGAATCGCAGCCAAAATAACAATCTAAATCCGATTAAGAAGGCTAATTATAATAAATAATATACCTATAAGGGTAAAACAAGCATTCATGTTTTATCTCAGTATTAAATTTCTTTGGAAACAATATTCAGATTAATTCAACATTGCAAAATCTGCAGTTTTAAATTAACCCTACGCGTAAATCTTTGTTTCATTAGATATTTTATTTTGCAGTGCACCTGAAATATTGTCAAGTATGTAGCTATATCATCATGCATCAAATTACAGCGCTTTCAACTTGTTTTATTGTGTTCCCTCAGCCTTTTAAATTAACTTGAAGCAACAGATAGCCATGCCTTGATATAGATAGCCTATTATTAGAACAACCCTGACACTATAATTGATTAATTAACTTGGGCGATGTAGGTACACTGTATCAATAAACTACCTGCAAGGCATTATCCCCATTGATTCAGGTAGAGAGGCAAATTGACTTCTAAGTGGGGGAACATTAAGGCTACTTCTGATTGAATTAGTTCGCATTTCCTGCAGCGGAGCTGCAGGGGAATAAATAATATAAGGCGGGTCGATGGCTGCCAAGATACTACATCCGCAACGCACGATCGGCTGCAAGGTCGGTCCAAAATCATGCTTAAAGGCATATACGATCATTTGCATTTATACCAAAGTAACCTACTGAAATATTGTCAAAAAGCTTACTTGGATTAAAGGGAAGATACAACATTTGCAAACATCAAAAAACGAAATGATCAAATTATAACGAAATGCCTTGCTGGATTGTTCGGGAATGACAGTCTAAATCATCCTGTAAAATCGTAGTTCCTGGTGTACTAACACTTTTAAGAAAACTTGTAGTTTTCCAACGCTGGTCGGCCGACCATCGTTGGAGAAAACTGGCTTTTTTCAAAAACTGCTCCGAATTGTTCATATTTAGTCATTCCGCATTTTCTTTGCAATTGATGACACATCTGTGTAGGGGTACAAGCCTGCTAGACTGACTCTCTTACCTTATAATTCCCCAAGTCTATAAATTACAACGTCTCATCTTAAGTAAAGTAAAAAAAAAGGACTACAAGAACATGGTTGGTTTTCTTAGATTTTCCAGCATCTCCGAACCTAAAACGTGAAACAAGCTAGTTTAACAATATTTTCTAAAGCACACTAATTCTCCGAATCCATTTATTTCTGAAAATTGCAGCAAAAGCAAATGTTGTATATTCCCTTTAAAAATCGTACTTGTACTTTCAAAACACCCGGTGAAATGATTCCGTCTGGCTTGCTGTCATTAAGAAGAAATCAAGAAATGTAGGTGATTTCCAACGATCTGTCAATTATTGACTGATTTTTTTTTTTGATATAAAGAGTTCTACAGACGAAATCGTATCGTGTTTCGTGATCAATAAGGTTGTGCATGGTTTTGCAATGTTTCCCTGAAAAGTGTAATATCCACTGAGCTGAAACGTCAACAGGTTACAGGATTTGAACACTCATCTCTGGATTTCGTTTGATGTTGTTTTTGGAAACGAACAAAATGCATGAAAAGCAAATGATCCCGTATTCCTTTTACGACATCATGTAGGTGGTGTACATTACACAACCAACCTGCACAACCTCGACAGTATGTCGCAAGACCAACAAAATATACTGACGACATTTTTGGGGTATAATTTGCGCTGTGAAATAACAGGACATCTTGCGCCGGAAATTAGCACCGCTCGGTATGAAAATTACATGAGTTCAATCAAAGCGGCTTAAGTTCTATACACTAATCAAAATGTCTACACGGGCAAGAATCACAAGCTGTTTCAGACAAGATCTAAAAAGTGGCAAATAAACCTTCTCAAAAAAAACCAGGATTATTAATAGTCTCGATTCTTGACTTTGTATCCCCATAGGACCTATAAATAAACTAACCAGAACATTTCATAAAGCTAATGTCAATTTAATTTGGCTCCAGCAGGGTTTAATTAAAACGCCTCATCGCCTGGCTCAAGAAATCACAAAAACACCGTCCAAAATGAAATGAAATGAAAAACAAGTCCAAACATGTCTTAACGGCACCCCTTGGATCCTCCAAAAACAAATTAAAATGTTCAATAGTGTGATTATACCATTTCATTTTTTTTTTCAAAATCGTTTTAGAAGAGCTATCGCAGACGGATCAGATTACGAATTAATCTTGCATTCCAATTAGAAAACAAACAGACTTCCCGATTTCAGGAACTCTATAATGAGAAACTATTATTCATAATCAATTTGCACTGAGCTCGTAAAGCAGGCGACTCTCTGATTATATTTGCCACCTTGTATTGATATGGTTCCCTCTGTTTGCCTCCCTCAACCGTAACCTATGTGTGAATCGCGGCGGACAATATCGAATGTGTCAGTGGGACTGCCGATGCATCAATGACTGGCGCAGACCACCCGCAAGAACCGGGACCTTTAGCAAAGTTCAGATTAAAGATGCAGTTCGATCACGATTTCTTAAAGTTGTCGCCAGAAATTCTGCCTGTCATTTTTTTTTCTCCACAGTGCTGAGCTCTACTATAAAAGTCACCTAAGGCTCCTGAAATGTGAACACTTATTGTAGCTCATAAGCCTGTTTCGTAAGAATACCTCTGACGTCATACCGAAGAGCAACCAACAGGCAACCCTAACAGTGGCTCATCCTCTGCATGTTATTTTGCCTCACATTTGAAGAGATATACATGCAGTGCAGAGGAGAACAATTTGCTGAAAATTGGCATCACGTGACCACAGAAGCCCAATTTTGTAAACAAATCGTAACATGGTCTTTATATGTAGCGGGAGAAGACGATTAACATATCTTATATGGAGTTGTGGTGAAAACACTGAGATGATATTCTGGGGTAAAAACACCTACATAATTGTGTAGGCCTGGGTCGGGCTCGAACCCGGTTGGCACAGTTTGGAGGCATTGGGCCTTTTCACACTCTCGTCTCATCTACCCGTGTTGAAATCAACACGGGTCTACCATAGCACAACCGGTTCCAATCGAACACAGATAGGTAAGGCATACCGGAGTATGTTCACACCTAACCGGGTTGTACCCGGGTCGGCCGAAGATTTTGGATTTTCTTACCCGTGTA